ATGAAGTAGCTCAGATACCATCTTGATTGCTTAATGATGGATGTCTTTGGGAGCACAAAGGTCAAATTGCTTATGGTCTGGAGTCAGGGTAACCAGTACCTCCAGTTCCTGAAACAGTAGCTTCCCACATGCATTACCTCCTAAGCTTATTAACTATTACCTAAAACTAAAATTTCCCAACTCTTGAGTTCTCTCATCAGTTTGCAAAGCTCTCACAGTCTTGGGCTTTGGGTTGGGCATGCACAAAAAATGTAGTCCAGAAAAATCCCCTAAATGAGTGGTCCACAGCACACTTTGAAAAACTAACATCAAAAACTAATTAGAAGCAAATACTGCACACAAATATTTGATTTAATATGTAATTTATGATGTTTCATGAAGTAAGTTGGGAAGGGCAGCCCAAATGGAGTGATAATAGAGGTACAATAAAATGTAGTTGAAAAGATTTGAAGGGAAGTGCCAAGATACAGACTTCCAGTCAAGATGGCATGACTCACCTCTTTGTATGACATCAAAATTACAACTAAAATATAGAACAACCAGCACTCAGAAAAGTCAGAAATAGAGTTTAATGGAATTAAACCATATCCATTCAGACTGTTAGGAGGGGCACACGTGCCGAAATTCAGGAGGGATATCTCGGGAGTGAGGAGTCCCACACCTATATCAGGCCTGCTAGCCCAGGTTTCCAGTGCCAGGAAAATAAGTCCCCACAACTTTCTGGTTGCAAAAAACCAGTGGGGATTAAGTCAGAAGAAACTGCTGGAGCCCCAAGCAGTTTCTGTTAGGAACCCACACATGGGCTCACCTACTCAGACTCACTCCAAGATCAAGCACATATAGCATCTTGAAAGTGGCACACAGAAAGGAAGTGAAATGTCTGGCATCAAGAACCAGAGGCCACTGTCCATTTTCTGAACCCTCCCCCAACGGAGCCAGCAGGCGGGTGCCATATCTGAGATTCCATCAACTGGCTAACACTGCCCTGCCCTGGAGATCCTCTGAGATTCCATCCCACCCAATGTACAGGTGCATCCAAGCTATTAACGGTGATTTTTCCATATGAATGGCTGGTCTTGGCTCAGGCTTCACAGCTTCCTAAATCCTATCAAATAAGCAACAGCTGGCCTCAGTGAGCCTCCAGCCCCTGGACCTCTTACTGAGTGGCCACAGGCCTGGCACTGGTAACAGCCAGCCTAGATTCACAGCTTGGCTTCACCTGGCAATCTTCAAGCCCAGCACAAGTAGCATCTATCTCAGATTGTTTTATAGCTCAGGCAGGGTGGCCCTGAGCAAAACACAGGTAGAAGCTGGCCTTGGCCTGCACCACCTGGAAAAACCCAGAGCCTGCACACCCAGTGGATAGCTACAGACCACGTCAGAGCACCACCACCTTGACCCTGCACAGCTGATGCTCCACAGAGGGCAGGGGTTGGTGGTCAGTGGTCACAGCCAGTCCTTGCAGCTGACTGGCCTAGGTAAATCCCTCCCGTTGATCTGCCAACAGCAATCATGGCTCAACTACAAAAGGAGGTGTACTCAGCCCATATGAAGGGTACACCTCAAGTACCCAGCTTGGGTGATAGGGGAGGCTGTGCCAATGGATCCTTCAGGACAATTACTACATTAGGCCATGCTACCAAGACAGGGAGTCATAGCAACTATACTTAATACATAAAAACAAATACAGGGAAGCTGCCAAAATAAGGAGACAAAGAAACATGGCCCAAATGAAAGGACAGACCAAAGCTCCAGAAAAGGAACCAAACAAAATGGAGATAAGCAATCTATCAGTTGCAGAGTTCAAAACACTGATTAAAAGGTTGCTCAAGGAATTTACTGAGGACCTCAACAGCATAGAAAAGATCCAGTCAGAAACAACAGATACACTAATTGAAATAACAATTTACAGGGCAACAACAGTAGAGTGAATGAAGCTGAGAATCAAGTCAATGATTTGTAACAGAAGGAAGCAAAAAATAACCAATCAGAACAAGAAAAAAGAAAGAAAATAACGATAGTATAAGCAACTTCTGGGACAACTTCAAGAGATCCAACATTTATCTCATAGGCGTACCAGAAGGAGAAGAGATAGAGCAAGAAATTGGAGATCTACCATATTTTTCAGACTATAAGGCGCACCCCCCCCAACCAATTTGGGAGGAAATGAGGGTGCGTCTTATAGTCCGAAGGCAGCTTACATGGCTCATGGGGGCGGGGGGAGCTATGTTATTTATGTTATTAAATATTTTACCACATTTTTTGCTTCAAAAATTTTTTCTATTTTCCTCTAAAACCCAGGTGCATCTTATAGTCTGGTGTGTTGTGTAGTCCTAAAAATACAGTATTTGAAAAAGATAATGAAAGGAAACCTGCTTAATTTGGTGAAGGAAATAGACATGCAAGTCCAGGAAGCACAGAGAGTCCAAAAATAGGATGGATGCAAAGAGGTCCCCTCCAAAACACATCATAATTAAAATGCTAAAGGTTAAAGATAAAGAGAGAATCTTAAAAGCAGCAAGAGAAAAGCCGTTAGTTACTTACAGGTGAGTTCCCCTGAGACTGTCAGCTGATTTCTCAAAAGAAATTTTGCAGGCTAGGAGGGATTGGCAAGAAATATTGAAAGTAATGAAAAGCAGGGACCTACAGCTAAGATTGCTCTACACAGCAAAGATACCATTTAGAATCAAAGGGCAGATAAAGAGCTTCCCAGACCAAAACAAACAAACAAAAAACTAAAGGAGTTCATCATCACCAAGCCATTATTATGTGAAGTCTATTATAAAGGGTCTTATTTAAGAAAAATAAGATCAAAACTCTGAACAATAAAATGACAATAAATATAAATCTATCAACAATTGAATATAAACAAACTAAGCAAATAAGAAGAACAGAGATAAAATCATGGATACAGGGAGCTTTTGATGATTGCCAAATAGGAGGTGGGTGTTGGGGAATGGGTGAAGAGGTGTGGGAATTAAGAAGTACAAATTAGTAGTTACAGAATAGCCATGGGGATGTAGAGTACAATATAGGACATTAAGTGGTCAAAGAACTTATATGCATAACCCATAGACATGAACAATGGTGGGGGGATTGCCTGAGGGAGTGGGGGGGCTTCGTAGAGGAGGACAAAGGGAGAAAAATCAGGACAACTGTAATAGCATGGCCAATAAAATATAATTTTTTAAAAGAATTACAGATGCACTGAAATTATTAATTAAATCAGAAGTATGACCTTGAGCAGAGGAAACATAGCTGCAGTAATCAGGACTGTTCTGGAGGCAACAGCCCTACTGAAAAACAATTTTAATTAACTTTAGGACCAGTGGGCAAAAACTCAAAAGCAGCAGGCTCTGTCAGCAGTGGCTGCAGTAGTGAAGGGATAGGAAGTAAAAGATTGGTTTTCTTCCCTACACCTGGCTTTATGTGGGTGTTGACTGTCATCTTTGAATAGACTATGTGGATAAGTAGAATTAAAAGTAGAAGTGATCAGCTGTCAAAAGGGAGGATGTAGGGGTGCTGGGTGAACAAGGTGGGAGGATTAAGCAAAAATCAAAAACAAAACAACAATAAAGAAAAACTAGGTGATTTCCAGAGGGGCAAGGGGATAGGAGGAAGTAGGGGAAGGTAAAGGAAGGATAAAAGGTGATAGAGACTTGGGAGTGCTAAACACACACTGCAACATACAAATGATGTATTATAGAATTGTATCCCCAAAACATAATTTTATTAACCGATGTCACCCCAATAAATTTAATTTTTAAAAACTAGAAGTAATCTTAATGTTTATCTTTATCATAATTATTACTTCCATTGGAACCATTTCCTATCCTGTTTTGTTATGCTTGAAACAACCACCACTTTCCTAATGGAATTATGTAAAGTGCTTTGCAACTCTGTTCAGTTTCCATTCTGAGCACTTAAACAGTATTTACACAGAATGAAATTCCAAGAGTGTTTTGTTTTTATTTTTGTTTTTTCAAACAGCAAATGGAAGTGCACAAAAGAAGATAATAAAAAAGGAACATGAGTCAATCAGCAAATAAGAAAGAATTTTATTTAGATTGGAGAACCAAGGAAGGCTTCCCCGAGGAAATGACACTTGAACTGATAAGCAGGAGTTGAGTGGTCTTGAGGTGATGGTGGTGAACATTTTAGATGAGAGGAAAAAAAAAAACTTAGAAGGTCTGTGGTGCCAGAAGTAGAGGTTGAAGCAGTTCTAGAAAGTAAGGGATTTTATATCCATCCAGATAATGCACGTAGAACTGGCAGAGCTTTGAAATGGATCCTATGTGAAACTAGAGGAACACTAAGAAATGTTAAGTACGTGTTTGGGTTACCAGAAAAGCAAGGGCCCTCTGGACATGAGTAAAATCAAACTTTGATGTGCTAACTAGAAACTTGCAATGAAAGCATTTTAAATAAAGATGGAATAGACTGAGCTTATGTTAAATTTTGTGTCATGTATAAATTTTTATTTTGTATTACATAGGTGGAGGAACGGATCACCTAAACCAAATTTCAGTGTTTAGGACTTCTTAGGGATAATTTTAATCAAGCCCTCTTACAGTAATAGGTCAGGTCACAAAATGTGATTTGTTTTAGGTGCCCCCGTGGTTATTTACAGATCTAGGCCTAAAACTCTTAATTCCCTTTTAAGAATGAAATTACTCCTTGAAAAATAAATCCAAGGTTATTATGCCAGGACTCTAGAAAGACCTGGCGAGAAGCTATTTGAGAACTATAAATGCCTGATGATAAAAAGTATCCTGTAATTTACAAACTAAAGCCCTGAGGTTACCATGGTTACTATAAAGCCTAAGGAAGGAGCTGGACCCCGTTCCTGTTGGAAAAAGTCCCGCCTCACAATACAAAGACCAATGGTGTGCCTGGTAACAATAGAGTCTGCAAGAAAAGCAGCCCCTGAGCCAATGGGATGCGTCGCTTCTAAGGTTCCCGCCGGAAGAATGCTTCGGCGTCTCCGCGGCTGGAGCGGTTGCTATGACTACCTGGGCTCCGTAGGCACCTGCAGCTAGCTGTGGAGCGGCGTAGGAGCAGAGCGACCCGGGACCCTCACCTCGCTCTTTAGAAGACAATTTGTGGCCTGCTTCGTGAGGTACCCATCTCAGCTCCAAGGAGGCAAGCGTCTCTTCTCCGAGCTTTTTCGCCATTCCGGGACTTTACCGCTTCTCTCCCCGGAATGGCTCGAAACTATGGGGAAAAGCCTCTGCCCTGGCGCGGCCTTTCTAGCCACGGGCCGGAGTGATTCTGCCTGACGGATTCGCCCGTTTCTGGGACACAAAGCCACAGGCATTTCGAACTAGGCTGCCGCTCTTATTTAGTCAGGGCTTAGAACACTCCCAGCTAGGCGTTTTGTTTTGTTTGTTTTGTCTTTGGGTTTTTTTGTCCTCATTTTACTGACGAAGACCCACCCTTGCACATGCGACTGCGTCTGGAGCTCCCGGCCATTAACTAAGTCACGGAGCTCCGGCTTTCCCGGACTGTGAACAAAGAACTGCCGTTTTCTGCCTTGTTGCCCTGTGCTCGTCATGCAGAACCTCACACAATTCCCGTTGAAGCTTGGAGGCCTTTTGAATTCTCAGCATCAGACGTCATCAAGTCAGTTAACCTTCTGCCTTCCACTTTCATCACCCTGAACGCCAGTTTCCTCATCCTGCTTCTTCCACAGCCATTTCACCCTTTCTTATCCACGCTGCACCTTAATGTCCATTCGTCTCCACCACCTCTCTCATCTACAGACCCCCCCACCTCACACACCCCCCCCCCCCCGTTTTCCTGCTGCAGTGCTTTGGGTTACTAAGTATTTCACATTCTCCAGCCCCGGAATCATTTGAAATATTTTTGTATGTTTCTCTGCACGATGGCAAGTTTTCTCTCTTAGATAAAATAGAGACTAGAATGGGAAAGTGCACAATGGTAAATACAAGCCTAAATTACTATAAGCCGCCTAGTGTGTTTTGGAAACGAAGTGGGGGAAAACCGAAGTGAAGTTTTGGGCCCATCTCAGGCTTGTATAAAGACATATTGTTCCTTGCTTAAGTGAATGCTTCGTTAGGCATACCTTTTAGTGATGTATTCATGTGTGAAAAGATCATTCAAAGTGATCATGTAACGGGATTCCAACCCTAAATACATTTGAAGCCAGCACCTTGATGTGATGGAATTTTTGGAAAGAATATGCTTGAAACGGTTCTTGTGCTTTTTCTTCATGTGAGTTTCTTGGTCAGAAAACATGCTTCGTGATGTGAGCCAAGAAACAAAAAACAATGAGGGGTGATTGAAAACAAGTATTTGTGGCAAGAGGGCAGACTTAATCCTAGAAATACTGGAATAGAGGGCCTTAAAAATAGAATAAGATTTATTTATATCCAACGCAGTTTTATTTTATCTTGGAAAACTTTATTTGTTTTAAAGTACATGTTCCTTATCTAGTCTTTCTACTTCATTGGTATTCAGGTTAAAATGTAAACCTATTGGGAAGATATACAAAGTATATCAGGTATTTTAGCAGGTATTTAGGGGCTAGAATGGTATGGATATTTTTATTTCTCGGGTCAATTATAGCAGTTATTTGTGATATTTCATGCTTGATGCCAGGTCAGATTTCTAAATACTGAAAAATTCAGCATTCTCTTAGGTAATAGATTGGAAAAGAAAAATAAGTTCTGCAGCTTTTTGGGGTTTGTTGTTTTGGGGGTTTGCATTAAATTGGAACTGAATAAATTTTAACTCTTAAAAAAGGGGGCTGTTAGATGCCATATATATATATTAACTTGTCCAAAGTCACTCAGCTAGCATGTTTGATTCTATATTGTAAGAAGCTTTCCTTTCCTCTCCCTATATGTATGTACTGAACAAACATCGTTAGGGCCATGTTAACACCTGACCAGGGCACCAGTGTGTACATTTTTTTTAAGGTGAAGGAAGAAAGGGATGGAGAAAGAGGGAGAGAAACGTCAATGCGAGAGAGAAACATCCATCAGTTGCCTCTCATACATGCCCTGATGGGGGACGGAACCTGCAACCCAGGCATGTGCTCTGACTGGGAATCAAACCCACAACCTTTTGCTTTGTTGGACGACACCCAGTCAACTGAGCCACACTTGTCAGGGCACATGTGTACATTTTTACATAGTTATGAATAGTACATTATGCCTTTCTTTTTCACTTAATTTTGTATTTTAACCATTTAAACCTTGATATATTGTTTTTAACTTTTAAAAATTACTTTTCTCATTTGAGGAATGAAAAAGAAGAAACTATGATATATCTTATAATTAAAATGGCTGTAAGTTTTAAATTATATTTGTGTAGAAAGAAGAAAGGAGGGTTAGAGTGAATAACTTGACTGTTTCATGGATTTTTTAAAAAAGATTTTATTTACTTATTGTTAGAGGAGGGGGAGGGAGGGAGAAAGAGAGGGAGACAAACATCACTGTGTGAGAGAAACATCGATGGATTGGCTGCCTCTTGCTCCCCAGCTGGGGACCTGGCCCACAACCCAGGCACATTCCCTAAACAGGAATTGAACCGGTGACATTTTGGTTTGTGGAACAATGCCCCACCCACTGAGTCATATCGGTCAGGGCAATATATTTCAGCTTTTGTGGCCATGCCGTTTACTTTGTTCTCTAGTGTCACTCAAAGACCGTTGGATCCAAAGCTCATCCTTTGCTCAAAGCTAGGCGATACGCTGTAGCATGAGGTGTGGTCCTGAACCTTGGGAGACACCTGCTGTGTAGGAAGAATAAGAACAAGTGGGAATAACTCTTCACCGATTTTCCTTGACTTCTTCTCACTTAAAATTCTTTGTGTCTTTCTCAGTTTGCCTGCAGCTTTACCACCTTATTCTTCACATCTAGAAGTTTCTGAAGGTCCCAAAACATTATAGGTTGTGCTTCTCTCCAAAGAGTTGGCTTTTAATATACTTAATGAGCATTTTATTCAGTATCTACTTTGTAGAGAATAATATGTTTGCATACTTTTTTTGGTGGACAGTTTAGGCACAGTTTAAATTTCAGAGCATTTGTAATTCAAAGACTAGAAATATATTACCTCAAGATAATGTTTTTTTAGAATTTTCAATTTACTCAACCATTGGGTCTCAATAAATGTTAGTTTGGGGATGTCATAACATAACAGGCAGAGGGACTCAAATATTCAAAGTCATGGAAATATAAGCAGCATTATGGGGATCAATAAGTATACTGTATGAAGAGTTCATTTCAGAGTGTGGCAGGAGGTAAGACTAGAGGGACAGGCATGAACTAGATTTTGAAGACTCTGGTGCCAAGCTCAGGGGTTTGAATCTTCCTGAAAGCAGTGCGAATGTTAAACAGCAAGTGATTTGCGTTCAGAAAGATCAGTCTGAGAGCTCTGTGGAATACAGTTGGATGGGAGCCAGCCTGGCAGCAGGGAAACCAGTTAAGGATGCTATTGCACTAAACTGGGCAAATAGTGAGGAGAGCCTGAATTAAGACAGCAACTGTAGACATGAGAGGAGGAATTAGAAAATGATAAAAAAACAGGTAGAATCTACAAATTCAGGGATGATGCATCCAGGTGACATAAATAAGGAGGGATCCAGGATGACTCCCAGTTTTTTTGGCTTGGAAAACCATATATATAGATTAGAGAGGAAGGGAGAGAAATATCAATTTGTTGATCCCCTTATTGATGCATTCATTAGTTGATTCTTGTATGTGCCCTGACCAGGAATCGAACCTGCAACCTTGGAGTATTGGGATGATGTTCTAACCAACTGAGCTATAGGGACAGGGCCTTGGGAAACTATATATTTTTAAGGGTTTTATTTATTTATTTTCAGAGAGAGGGAAAGGGAGGAGGGAGAAAGACAGGGAGAGAAACATCAATGTGTGAGAGACACATTGATCCATTGCCTCTTGCACGCCCCAAGCTGGGAACCAGGCCCGCAATGCAGGCACATGCTCTGACCTGGAATTGAATCGGCAACATTTCAGTTTTCAGGCCAGCACTCAATCTACTGAGCAACACTGCCATGGTGGGAAACTATAGTAATGGTTATTTTATTAACTGTGGAGTACAGATACAGGAACAGGTGTAAGAGAAGAGCAGATTGTTCAAACTGAGTTGTTCACTAGACAGTGGATATGCATTGGTCTTAAACAATAGACTCATTTTATATTGCATTTCTAGCCTACATCCTCTTTCTGGATGTGTACCTCTCCACAAATCCTTGCTTTGGTGGCCATATTTGTACTACTACTTCTAACCCACTCCAGCCACAATTGATTGAATGGGGATTATACAACTAACTCCAGAGAGGGGGCACAATTCATTGGGTGAACAACAAATAATTGTCTCTTTTTCACAAATTTGAACTAAAAGGATGGAAATGACTTGATCTGAAAAGTAGCATAGATTTAGGATCTGAATGTCTGTTTGCACTACTGCTGATGAGCAAGCAGAGAAAGTCCAGCCATGGAGAGAAGCAATTTAATATGGGCTGATTCAAAGAGAAACCAAGAGATGAAGCCCTCATAGGTCAAGGTAGACTAGTAACGGCTGTCCAGTTCCATGTCCAATTCCAATATAGCCATGTTTCATTTGCAGCATGTGCCCCTGTATCTTATTCTTTTAGTACCCTCCTTTAGTAGTTAGGATTGATTGGCTGAGAGATTTGGAAAGCTCAAAATAATAATGTGTTTGAAAAGGTAGAAATTTATTTCTCTCACATAAAAGTCAAGAAGAAAGCAGTCCAGAACTGATAGGGCAGCATCTTGAAATAGTCAGAGACTGATTTCTTCTCTCATGATAGTATATCATTCTAATGGCTGACATCACAGGGCATGCGGCTTCTACCTCATGGTGTCCAGGATGGCCGCTCAGACTTAGCTATTTTGTCTGCAATTCAGCCAGTAGAAAGGAGGAAGGAGTGGGAAAGAGGGCGTTCTGATCCTTTAAGTACACGTCCTAGAGGTGTCACACAATTCCCTTTACATCTCATAGCTCAGAACTTAGTTACAAGGCTGTATCTAACATTAAGGTAGGCAGCTGTGTGACTGCTCAAAAAATTAGATGTCTTATTTCTGTGGAAAAGGGGGTGAATTCTACACTTATTAAGTGGTTAAAATGGTAAATTTTAGATCTCATTTATTTACCACACAGACACAGACACAGACACAGACACACACAAGAAAGAGCAGGAAGTATGGAAAGTGGGGACAGAGTGGGACATTTGCGGTTTAGGAGTGCAGTATTTCAACAGTAGTTCACATCATGAGAAGGGCTCGGATGTAGCTATGGGGACCGATGACTGAGCAGAATGGAGACTGAAGATCACTAGCTCTGGGAGTGTGCTGTAGTCCAGAAGCTTGGATAAATCATACACTTGGATGTTGGTCTGCAGCCAACACTGTCCTCCTGACCCACAAGCCTCCTCTTCTTACATTCCTGGTCACCTCCAATACCTTCAGATCTCCCAGAAGCCAGGGATCCAAAGGTATTCTCAATACCCCCAACCCCCTTTTCCTTTTAGCTTCCTCTGAAACTCCTCCTTCCCCCTACAATATGGAGGGAGAAATTATGCTGCTCTCTAGGGGCGAGCAACCCACAGT